AACTAATTTGGATGTAAATTTAAAAAAATAAAAAATAAAACAAAAGCATTTTAAAGAAAATCAAAAGAGAAAAGGCAGACATATTTAAATTCCTTATATTTACTGACATACGTAAAAAAATTTCTAGGGGCCTGTGGATTTGAGTTACCATTTGGTGTTATTTTGTCAGAGATAATTTCTTTAGTATATTCTGTCATTCGGTTCTGCTAACAAATGTTTTTGTTTATCTGCAGATGCCTTTATTTTGCCGTGTTTAAAGGAAAGTTTCCCTAGATACAGAATTCCTGATTGACAGGTTGCTTGTTTTTAGTATTTTTGAATTTGTCATTCACTTTTTCTTTCTTGCTGCTTTCAAGATTTTTTTTTTTGTCTTCAGTTTTCAACAACTTAATTTTGACGTGACTAGTTGTCTAGGTATTCTACCTGTGGTTTATGGAATTACTTGGATATGTAAATTAATGTTTCTCATCAAATTAGATGATTTTAAAGGCATTTTTCTAATTTTTTTTTTTTGCCTCTTTCTCTTCCCTCTTCCTACTACTACAATCCCGCCTATACTGGAATGCCTAATATTACATCATAGATTTCTGAAGTTTTGTTTGTTTGTTTTTATATATTTTTTTCTTTTTGTTCTTAGAATTAGTTAATTTTTAGTGATATCTTCAAGTTTATGGATTCGGATTTTGCCTTCTGCTTCTCAAATCTAATGACCCAGCTGGTGGAAATTTAATTTCAGCTTTAGAATTTTCATTTGGTTCTTTTATGTTTTAACCTACACAGAGTAAATGTTAGGCATAGAGTAATTTAACTACACAGTCATGATATAAAAAAGTTCTAATACTCAAAATTTCCTCTTTCTGCCTTTTTATAGTCAAACTAATATCTTTATATACTTTTTTTCTCTTTTAAAATTGCATATTCACCCATTCCCTAGCCTTTTTTCCCTTAACTTTTTTTTTAAGTTTATTGATTTATTTTGAGAAGGAAAAAGAGTGCACATAAGTGGGAGAAGAGCAGAAAGTGAGAGAATCCCAAGCATACTCCACACTGTCAGCACGGAGCCCAGTGCCGGGCTTGGTTTCACAAACCGTGAGATCATGACCTGAGCCAAAATCAAGAGTTGGATACTTAACCGACTGAGCCACCTAGGCGCCTCTCCCTTAACGTGTTTAATGTGTTTATAATAGCTTCTTTGGGATCTTTGTTTATGAAATACAATACCTATAGAAAGTCACTTTCTATTGACTGATTTTGTTCCTTAGTTTAGGTCACAGTTTTCTGTTTCTTTATATGTCTAGCAATTTTTAGTTGAACATTCTGTATTGTCGATAATATGTTGTAGTCTGTATTCTTCTGGTCCTTCTAAGGGTTTCTGTTTTGTTTTAGAGGCATTTAACTTGCTTGGTCTTAAACTGTGACATCGGTCTCTCCCATAGACTGTCAATGCTGATGTCTTCGCTTAGTTTTTGTTTAAGCCTGGCTCTCTAAGAGACTCCCCTTCATCTGCATAAAGTAGAAGTGAGCTTATGTTATGGACAGAGGTTGTATTAGACATCAAAAGCCATCACTCTTGGCTGCCTGAGTTGTGGATGTGTCAGACCACTTTAAAAGTATAGCAAATTTGCAAGTCTCCAAATTTTCAACCACCACTGGGCTCTCTAGGGTCTCTTTGCGCACATATTTTAGTGCTTGGGTGGGGGTACAGAGAAAGTTTATTATCTCAACCTTTCTCTGACTCTTACTTCCAAATTTCCCTGTTAAATTTCTAGCTGCTCTACTAACAGCATTAAGGCGTATATCATGGGGCTTTTTGTTATCTTTTAATGCCCCATAAACTAGGGATGGGGGAGATGGGAAAATCTGAGAAAAAATTCCACAAGCTCCCCATTCTTATCTAAGAAAGAAGTTTTTGGTGAATAAGCACTTTTCAGCTTATGACCTGCCTTTGGTAGTTTTTCTGTACCATGAATTGGTTGTTTTTTTTAAAATCATTTTATTTGTTTTTGTACTTGTTTTTTGGGAAGAATTCCTCAACTACCTCATGCCACCACTATTGGAAGTCAAGTCCATCTTTAATTTCTCATGTGATAAACTTATATGTTTTAAATGGCCTGTTGCCTTCCCAGCTCTCTGTCTCTTGGACTGTCCTGTATCATTCATTTGTTTTTACCCCTTTTGTCCTCTACTAAATCTTTATATCTATTTGATTTTATTTCTTTATTCTTTCAGAGAGGGAGACTAGACTTGACAACCCTCAATTGGATATACCTGGAGATGTTTACTTCCATAAGGAGGTATTGGAAAGTGTAACAAGGGATCCTTCACTATACTCCATTTTTAAGGTCTGGCAGGGTGATGACCAGATGGAGAGACATCAGGAAAATAAAGACAGACTTCTCAGGCAATTCATGGTCATCAAAAACAAAACAGTTGTTGAAGAATCAGGTTATACATATAAGTCATCAGGAAAAATATTTCATGACTGCATAGACCTAGATTCTTCAGGACAAAGATTGTATAAATGTGACTCATTTGAAAAGAGCTTGATACCTAATATAAACTTATTCAGTTGTAATAGGGGTTATGCAAGAAAAAACACTGTTGAGAATTTTAGATGTAGGAGTACACCTATTTCTTCCTATTCTAAGCATGAAAAAATTCATAATGGAGTGAAACACTGTGAAGATAGTCAATGTGGAAAGATTATCAGCAATAAACAGTCTCTTTTTCAATATGTGAATGTTGAAACTGGAGAGAAGACCTGTATATGCATTGAATGTGGAAAATCTTTTCTAAAAAAGTCACAACTCATTATACATCAAAGAATTCATACTGGAGAGAAACCGTATGATTGTGGTGCATGTGGGAAAGCCTTCAGTGAAAAGTCACATCTCATTGTACATCAGAGAACTCATACTGGGGAAAAACCTTACGAGTGTTCTGAATGTGGAAAAGCTTTCTCTCAGAAATCATCCCTCGTTATACATCAGAGAGTTCATTCTGGGGAAAAACCATATGAATGTAGTGACTGTGGGAAAGCCTTCTCCCAGAAATCACCTCTCATTATACATCAGAGAATACATACTGGTGAAAAACCTTATGAATGTAATCAGTGTGGGAAGGCGTTCTCCCAGAAGTCACAGCTGATTATACATCATAGAGCTCATACTGGAGAGAAACCATATGAATGTACTGAATGTGGGAAAGCCTTCTGTGAGAAGTCCCACCTCATTATACATAAAAGAATTCACACTGGGGAGAAACCCTATAGATGCACTCAGTGTGAGGAAGCCTTCAGCAGAAAGTCAGAACTCATTATACATCAGATAATTCATACTGGGGAGAAACCTTATGAATGTACTGAATGTGGGAAGACCTTCTCGCGGAAGTCACAGCTCATCATACATCAGAGAACACATACTGGAGAAAAACCATATAAATGCAGTGAATGTGGAAAAGCTTTCTGTCAGCAGTCACATCTCATTGGACATCAGAGAATTCACACAGGAGAAAAACCTTATGTGTGCAGTGAATGCGGGAAAGCCTTCTCTCAGAAGTCTCACCTCCCAGGGCATCAGCGAATTCATACAGGAGAAAAACCTTACATATGTGCTGAATGTGGAAAGGCGTTTTCCCAGAAGTCAGACCTTGTTGTACATCGGAGAATTCATACTGGGGAGAAACCCTATCAGTGTGCTATGTGTGGGAAAGCCTTCATCCAGAAGTCACAACTCACTGTACATCAAAGAATTCATACAGTGGCAAAATTGTAAGAATGGACTAAGCACAGGAAAGTCTTCAGTATCTGCTTAAGCCTTAATAAATACCACAAACTTACAGATTTCATGAGTTTGGGGGCATCTTTACTGGTAAAATTTAAGAAATGAAATAAAGTTTCTAATATGTTTATTTTTTTTATCAAAGATAATACAAACATCTCAGTTATATAAATAATGGGTATTTTCACTACGGCACGTAAATAAGACTTTTGAGATTGTGAACTGAATTAATTACAAGTTATATAATCTATTTTGAAGTTACATATTTGTGATTATGTTACATAATAAGAATTGGACCAGTAGTAATATTATTAATGTTAGCTTAGCATAATTATGGCTGTGAAATAAATCCCCATAGAGCACATGAAGAAAACTTGAGTCAAAAGATGCCACAACCTAGAAACTGTGCTTGAGGGAAGGATTTGATTGTTCCTGTAAAGGTACATGTAAAAAAATATATATATTCTTGTAGATAGATGGAAAGATGGATTGATAAGGTCCAATAAATGTGGTCTTTTGGTTTTTTTGTTGTGTTTTGTTTTGTCTTTCATTTAAAGAATATAAGTTGGTCTGTGTCAGTGGATAGTCCTAGGATCTTGGAATTGACACTTGTTGTTTCTCTGTTTTACTCCTCTCCACTAGGACTTTGGTGTGATGGAAAGACATAGATGGTCATAGGTTTTAATGCTTATTCCATTACCCACAGATTGTGTGACTTCAGGGAAACCTTTTTTCATCCATGGTGTCTGTTCCCTCATCTATATATGAAATTCTGGCAGAGAACATGTTTTTAGCTCATATTTGTCCCCTTTATCTTTCCTCTCTGTTCTTTTGCAGGAGGTTGCTGATAACCATGTGTCCCCATTTAAACTTGATTTGCATTCCAGACACTGTGTGTCTGATTTCCCTGATTTCCTATTCTCTTCTTTGTCCATTTCACTGCTCTTGTGTCTGGTGGCCTAACGCACACTGTTATGGAGACCTCACTTTTACTTATTTTATTTTTCAAGCGCATATAAATTATGGTGTTTGTACATAAAGACCCTGTGTGATACCACCACAGATCCTGTTTTACCCTCTCCCTGAAGCACCAGTTCTTTTTCCTGAGAATTGAGTGGTCCTCAGAGAAAAACCCATAGGGAATGTGGAAGATGTGCCTGGCATAGCTTACATGGGTAAGTATGAATCTGAACATAAAAATCCCACCTGCTATCTCTAAAATGTTTCTTTATTCTTTGTTGTGGGACCAGTTCTGCTCCCATAAGAATCTTCAGGAGAGCATCCTGGCGGGGACAAGTCCTGTGTGGCAGGGATGTTGTGACCTGTGTGGCTAAATACGATTTCTGCAATAAAATTCCTACTTGATTCCTCCCTATGTCCTGCTTAGCTGACCTTTCTCTGCAGGGCCCCAGTGTTTACTCTGAGAAGTAAGGCTTTGCTTGGGAACCTCTGCAGAGAACATGGCATACCCCAAAAAGATGTGCAAACGTGTGAGAAAATTCTTTGTGTCATTGTGAACATGTGTTTGATGCTGCAGATAATTGGCCATTTGGATCTGGGAAATAAAACCTTCGGCATGTAGCATGGAGTGATCTACTTTGAGAGGTCTTGATGGAAGTTGGCCCCACCTGGCCCTTATGGGGAGGCATGGGAAAGTCAGGGTCTCCAGAACATACAGAAGTTTTGTGAGAAGGAAATGATAATATAGTGACAGGGAAATTATGTAAGGAAAATAAAGACCCAAGTTTCTCTCTCCTCATGGGCCTTCCATTTTGCCTTTTACTTTCTAAGGACCCTCATTAATCTGATCATGACATAATATATATTATATATGGCTATAAAATATAGGAAAATTTGATATTTACTGGTGTATAGAAAATTTTCCGTCTAAAGTCTAGAAAAAAGGCAATGTCCATTTTCACCAGTTTTATTCAGTATTGTATTCAAAGACCTAGTCAGGGAAATCAGGCAAAAAAAAATTGGTATAATGATTGGAAAGCAACAAAACACATTTGTTGACAAAATTGTATGCATAGGTGATGAAAATGTATATGTTAATTATTAGAAATGGAAAGTAGCAAGGTTTCTGTATAGAATATTTTTAAAAATAAAGTTTATGCAACAGATATAAAATGAAAATTTAAAGGTATCAATTAAAGGTATCAATTACAGGGGCATGAAAAATACAACATGTCTAGAAATATGTGTATTTTCAATACTATGTTGAAAAGAAGTGGCAAGAATGAGCATCCTTGTATTATTCCTGATCTTAGGGGAAAAGCTTGCTGCACCATTGATTATAAAGTTAGCTGTGAGCATGCCATATGTTGCCTTCCTTATGTGGAGGTACATTCTTTGACTAATTGGCTGAGAATTTTTTTATCGTGAAAGAATATTAAATTTTTGTCAAATGATTTTTCTGCATGCATTGAGATGATTTTTTATCTTTTATTCCATTAATGTGATGAATCACATTTATTAATTTGTATACATTGAAACATCTTTGCATCCCAGGTATAAATCACAGTTAATCATGATGTATGACCCTTTTAATGTACTGAATTCTGTTTGTTCTTATTTTGTTGAGGATTTTACATTTGTATTTATCAAGAATATTGACCTGTACTTTTCTTGTAGTGCCCTTACCTGGCTTTGGTGTCAGAGTAATAGCCTTGTAAAATGAGTTTGTGAGTACTCCCTTCTTCAGTTTTTTGTAAGAGTTTAAGAAGGATTGTTAATTCTTTAAATGTTTGGTAGAATTCACCAGTGACACCATCTGGTCCTGGGATTTTCTTTGTTGAGGTGTTTTTGATTACTGATTCAGTCTCCTACTCATTATTGGCTGTTAAGATTTTCTATGAATGATTCAGTCTCATATATTCTATGTTTCTAGCAATTTATTTCTTCTTCGTTATCCAATTTGTTGGCATAATTGTTCTAAGTGATATTATGGTATGTTGTATTTCTCTAATATCAGTTGTAATGTCTCTTTCATTTCTAAATTTATTTGAGTCTTTGCTCCTTTTTTTCTTTGGAAAAAAGACAATGTCCATTTTCACCAGTTTTATTCAATAGTGTGTGTCTAACTAATGGTGTGTTAATTTTGCTTATCTTTTCAAAAAAACCAGCTTTTAGCTTCATTGATCTTTTCTATTGTTTCTCTAGTCTCTGTTTCTACTCTTATTTTCATTATTTCCTTCCTTCTGCTAACTTTTGTCTTAATTTGTTCTTCTTTTCCATGTCTTTGAGGTGTAAAGCTAATTGTTTATTTGGGATCTGTGTGTGTGTGTGTGTGTGTGTGTGTGTGTGTGTGTGTGTGTGTGTTTAAGCTTATTCGTTTATTTTGAGAGAGGAAGAGAGCAGGGAAGGGGCAGAGAGAGAGGGGGAGAGAGAGAATCCCAAGCAGGCTCTGCAATGTCAGCGCAGAGCCCGATGCAGGGCTTGAATTCACAAACCCTAATGCCATGACCCAAGCTGAAACCTAGAGTCAGACGTTTAACTGACTGAGCCACCCAGGTGCCCATGGGATCTTTGTTTCTTAAGGTTGGCATTTATCTCTATGAACTACCTAAACTACTTTTACTACAACCAAGAGGCTTTGGTATATTGTGTCTCCATTTTCATTTGTTTCAAGGGCTTTTTAAAATTACCTTTTGATTTCTTTTGGTTTCTTCTTTGATTCATTGATTTCCAGTATGTGTTATGTAATTCCCACTTATTTGTGAGTTTCCAGTTTTCCTTGTTACTTTCTAGTTTCATACCATTGTGGTCAGAAAACATACTTGGTATAATTGCAGTCTTCTTAAATATGCTAACATTTGTTTGTGACCTACCATATCATCTATCTTGGAGAATATTTGTGTGCCCTTGAGAAGAGTGTGTATTCTGCTGCTGTTGGATGCAATGTTTTGTGTATGTCAGTTAGGCCCAATGGATCTGAAGTATAGTTCAGTGTTTCCTTATTGATTTTGTCTGCCTGATCAATTATTTATTTATTTATTTATTTATTTATTTAAGCAATCTCCACACCCATCACGGGGCTTGAACTCAGAATCCCTAGATCAAGAGTCACATGCTCTTCTGACTGAGCCAGCCAGGTTCCCTGTGATCAATCCATTATTGAAAATGGAGTACCAGAGTCTCCTGTTATGATTATATTTTGTCTACTTCTCACTTCAGACCTGTTAGTGTTTGATTAATATATTTAGGTGCTCTGGTGTTAGGTGTATATATATTTATAATTGTTATATATTCTTTATTACTTGGTCCCTTTATCAATACATAATGATCTTTTTGTCTCTGTTACAATTTTTTTTAAATGTTTATTTTTGACAGAGAGAGACAGAGCATGAGTGGGGGAGGGGCAGAGAGAGAGGGAGACACAGAATCAGAAACAGGCTCCAGGCTCTGAGCTGTCAGCACAGAGCCTGACGTGGGGCTCAAACTCACAGACCGTGAGACCATGACCTGAGCCGAAGTCGGATGCTCAACCGACTGAGCCACCCAGGCGCCCCTACAATTTTTAACTTAAAACTGTATTTTGCCTGATACAAGTATACCTACTTTTGATCACTTTTGGTTTCCATTTACTTGGAATAACTTTTTCCATCCTGTTTGATCCTATCCATGTTCTTAAAGCTGAAGTGAGTCTCTTCTAGGCAGCAGGTAGTTGGGTCTTTTTTTTTTTTTTTTTTTTTTTTTTTTTTTTTTTTTTTTTTTTTTAATCTGGCTAGTATTAAAAAGACAAAAAAAAGAAAAGAAAAAAGTTACAAGTGTTGGTGAAGATGTGGTGAAAAGGGAATCTTCAAGCCCTGTTGGTGGGAATGTCAACGGTGCAACCACTGTGGAAAGCCCTATGGAATTTCCTCAAAAAATTAAAGATAGCAATACCACATGATCTAGTAATTCTTTTTTAAAAATATTTATTTATTTGGAGAAAGAGTGAGCATGAGTGAGGGAGAAAGAGAGAATCCCAGGCAGTC